AGAGAGGGAGAGAGTGAGGAAGAGAAGAAGTGAGAGAGAGAGAGGCTGGTGGAGGCACAATTAAAGAGGCTTTTTGTCGCGTTTAATATCAATTCATTCCATGGACTGCTGACACAGGCAGTCCAGAGAGCCCAGGATTTATGGCTCCCTCTAATGGGCATGCTCAGAATCAAAGGCCTGTCGTCAGCACTACTTAAACCACTCCTCTCTCACTCCCTCGCGCCGGCCCTCTCCTCTCCACCCCACTTTTAAAGACACACGCTCATTTACAGCTCTACAGCAGCAGTTCTCAACTATTTTGTGGCAGGAGCCAAATTTTAACCCAACACAGCACCGAAATTTGAAACAAGCAATTTATAGTTATTTCTCTTATCTAGTATTGTCCGCTTTTAAGGATAGCGATATGTCACACAACCTGTCCATGTTGGCTTCTGTCTAATTTGGCGAGCTTCAACAGTGACAGATGACACCATAGAGTCTGATATTAACAAAAAGCCGATTCATTTTTCTATCATAACAATGCAAAATGATATGGTCACATGCATTTTATTTTATTTTTTGCATGGTTTTATTTCTGCAATTGAGAACCACATCTGTGAAGGAACACACAAACACACACACACACATACACACATACACACCAGAGCAGACCAATGCGACTGCGTTAGTCATTTTGGTTTTATAAGGCAGCTTTGCATTGCTAGAAGAAAAGGTAAGATCAGTAAGGTGCACTTCAAGTTAACTCAGATTCTGTTTAAGGGCACAAGTAAAATTAAGTCTAAATTAGGTCTCATTCACCATACATTCAAACATTTGTGGGCAAAACTTGTATGCAAACATTTTCAAACAAAATTAAAGATCTATGAATATCATACTTTCTAAATTCAGACCACACCACTCTCTGTCTATCTCTCTATCCATCTACAGTATCTACATCTACTTTTCATAGATGAATAAAAATAAGAGTTTTATTAATATACATACATTTTGAATGTGATGGAAAATCGTCAATGTTTGCAGACATGTATGAAATTTGTATGTAAATATTAATGAATGAGACCTAATCCCTATCTACAAGGTTTCTAGTAATGTAACTGATCCACAGATGAAACACCCCAGACAGACGGAAAACAACAATGACACTGAGACATACAGCGGATAAGGATGATATAGGAGAGAGAGAGAAAGCCTGTAAATGTAAATGGTACAAAAATATGAAATCCATCCCATGAATTGAAGAGTCAGACTCAATTTCAATCCAACCTTTGCTTACAGCACAATTCACTCTTGAAAGAACATCTAACTCAAAACCAGGAAGATCATGAAACTGTATATTGAGGGGTCACCAGTAGTAGTCAGAATCATTTGGTGCCACTAGGCAAGAGGAAGTGAAAAAAAAATAAATAAATGAAATAATATTTAAATACATACAAACATACAATTTAACAATACGAGTGTAAGATATATTAGTCTAGTAGTACAATTTTTGCTCAGCATGAAAGGGGACCTGCAAGGAAAAGAGAAGCTTTGACATTTCGTCCAAGAGTTTGGAGCAACATGAGGGCGAGTTAATGATGGCAAAACTTTCAGTTTTAACTAACAAACAAATACGTGACTGAAAGAAATAGTTCAGCCAAAAATGAAAATTTGCTGAAAACTGACTCACCCTCAGGCCACCCAAGATGCAGATGAGTTGGTTTCTTCATCAGATTTGGAGAAATGTAGCATTAAAGCAGTGTAAAGCTGTGCGCTTTTGGCCAAAACACCAGTCCATAATTAATAATAACGCTTTCTCCAGTGAAAAGTCCATCCCCTGTTGTCCTCTCTCATCAAAATCCACCAACATATTAGTTTAGAACTGTTTTGGACTGATTTTGCTTGTAAATGGTGCTTGATTTGTGCATATGTCTCTCTTGATTCAGACTGAACAACTTTTTCATTGGAGAAAGCAATATTATGGATAGTGGACTCATATTTTAGCCTTAAAACGATGACATCTTAATGATGGATTTGTTTATTACAAACACAGCTTTTCACTTCACAAGTCGTTAACTGATGGACTGGAGTCATGTGGATTATTGTGATGTTTTTAGCAGCTCTTTGAACTCTGACGGCACCCATTCACTGCAGAGGATCCACTGGTCAGCAAATGATGTCATGCTAAATTTTTCCAAATCTGTTCTGATAAATGAACAAACTTATCTACAGCTACACCCACACAATGCATCTAGACAAACATTTAGTGCATGACCTCAACAAACACACTGACCTGCCCAACTGGGGGTCTCCATGTACAGCTGTGGCTGAGCAGGTGGGGTCTCACTGCAACCAAAGAGGTGTGATTCCTACGGGAGAGAAAGACAGCAACACATTTTGAGCCTGAGAATTAAAGCCACACAATTACATCCAAACAAAAACATTTAATTCCTCAAAAAGTGGTATTTTAAATTTCCTTTGAATTAAGAACGAAGCCCAGTCTACAATAACAAAGAAGGTGAGCTCCCAATTTACATTACAGATTGCTCTGAAATTCTTTATTTTTTAGACTTGTTTTTTTCATTTCATATGCCCTTGTTATGATAATGTGTGAGGGGATTGAGGAACAGTCAGAAGACCTGCAGGGTCCAGATAAGCTCAGAACCCCACCAGAACCACCAAATCCTCTGCATGTACAGCAACCGTGCTTCATGCTACGCTGGTGCTGAAGTGGCTCTGCCATAACATTTGGAGCACACACACCAGCTTGTCTGCTTCCACACAGTTACGGATAAATAAAGCAACAAAAAAAAAAGGCACTCTTTGGATACGTAAACATGGAAGCTGCAAACGCACAAGGCATATATTAACCACAAACCCCTTCATGTCCTGTTAACCCTTTCAGATTGGAAACAGTTAAGTCTGATAGTTGGATAAGAAGGATAATCATTCTGTTGGTCTGACCCGGAGAGAAAATGGGCCTGGTGTCACTGTTAATTTAAAATCGACTGAACTAAGGCAGGTTTGGCTGTGTGTACATGATAGCAGGTGGCTTCAAATCACATTCTTATTTAGAGAAACACTGTAGTGAGTGAGAAATCACTTCACCCAGAGAAGTGTGAGGGAAGAAGAAGAAGAAGAAGAAAAAAGAAACGGGGAAAAAGATGATAATGCTGCAACTTTTACTTGGACACAGAAAAATATACAACCCAACAAACACGGGGCCCCAGAGAGTGAATGCAGCACTCTGGACAAAAGACCCTGTTAGAGCTTTACCGTAATTACACAGCCGTAATGGCCTCTATTGCAGGCTATTCAGATTAAATATGCATAGAGCCCCGTCCATATCCACGGGGCTTGATAAAAGTGTTGTTCCTATGTGTCATTTAATTGTTAGCATTAATCTGAAATATATAGCTAATGTGTTTATTGAAAACAGCACTCTGCCATGCTGGAATTGAATGTCTTTCTGTCCTTATTGCATATCATTCTTTCTTTAACAACTCGCTCACAAATCATTCCACATTTTTTCCCGTTACCTCTGTTTGCCTCTTTTCCCATCATCCTTTCTGTAATTCTAAAAGTGACAGTTCACCCAGAAATTGTGTCTCACACCCATATGACTTTTTTCTTCAGTGGAACTCAAAAGGATAAACTCTGAAAATGTGCTGGTTGCCCTTACAATAAATGAGGACTGAAACATTGAGGCTTCAAAAACAAATGAAAAGCACCTTAACAGCGGTGAAGTCTTACGACGCCATAAGTGAGAGAAACAAATTTGTGTTGCTCTTCACTCAATTCAGTCCATGAGTTGAACTTGAGAACCGATTTGTGAAAGAAATATCCAGTTTTTGTGAACCAAATCAAATGATTCATTTGAAAAGATCTGAAAAATCTCTACTTATCTCATGAGCATGCCAAGAAGAGCCAGACAGGTTTTCTTTTAGTAAAGTTATAAAGGGTTAAGAATAGATAAGAGTGAATAAATGATGAAAGAAAATTTTAATGTCATTTTTGGATAAACTATTCCTTTAAAAATGACATCTAACCCTCTTTTTTCCTTCCTCCCAAAGTCCATTCTCTCTGTGTCAGTCTATCTGAGAGAGGCTGTAGTTCTCTGCGGGGAAGTGTCTAATTTCATTCCGAGTGTTCCCCTCTGTGGTCAAGAGTAGAACTGAAACCCGGAGACGCAGGAAGTCTTCTGGGAAATCCAGTTCACTACAGAATCGGTGAGAATTCATTTCTGAAGAATTTCGCTTCGCTTGCCTGAAAACAGGCTCACAGGGTGGCAATGAAAAACAGAGGTCTCTGCATGTCAACAAAACCCTGAGCGTATTTGTGTCCATCCACCGAACCCAACATGTATAAACACAAATGCTCCTTTCCGAAACCTAGCGAGATGCCTACGGAGACAGCATTTTAAGGTGAAGGCTGTTTCAAAGGGTATAAGCAATATTATAAGACACCTCATTTGAACCAAATTCTAAGATAACATTGCATATATATGCTTTGCAGATAAGACAATCCCAGAATGCAATGTAACAAACTCAATGGAGGAAAAAAATCAATGATAGCAGACAAAAACAAACACATATTTCATTCAATACTGAAAATTGAACTAAATATTTTTACCCAGCATTTTTGTGTTGTATTTATTGTAAGCCAAAGCTATCCCATGAGGCCACAGGAGAAGATTTGTGAATGGCAGTTAAAGGTGGGGTAAGCGATTTCTGGTAGCCAATGTTGACATTTGAAATCACCAAAACAAACACACCCCTACCCCAAAAGGGTCTCGCCCCTATTTTGATAGCTCTGATTAGTTCTGTGAAACAAAGCAAAACCAATGTTACACTGTGTCTACACTTGACG